ACTGAAAGACATTAATTCCAGGAGATAAACCACATTTCCTAAAACCTGCACGAGGAGGACACTGCTGCCAGCCCACGCACACAGGGACACTGGTGTTCACGCCGGGAGAAGGGTCCACTTCACAGCAGAGCAGAGCTCTCCGGGGAGCATGTGGAAATCTGTGGTTGCCTGTCCCCACCACGTGCTCTCCTGGCGCCCCGGCCTCTGCCTCTGGGACTTGCTCAATACCAGGCCCTCCTGCCGCCCCAGGCCCGCCCCGCACCCCACAGCAGTCTCCCTCCGACCCCAGGCACAGCGGCCGACTTCCACCTCATTCCTTGCTAACCACAGGCCGCTCAGGGGGAGGCCCCGCGTCACTCGCTGTCCCACTTCCAGCACCCAGGCTAATCCATTATTCAGTAGTGCACTGTGTACGGAGGGAAGTGAGTTGCAGATGAGCCCACATGCGAGGAGGACGGCAGGGCACTCCGGAGCAACACCTTGATGGAGGTTAATCAGCTCTCTCACCACTGCTATGTACTTGGGTTTATTGGTGGGGGCTCCTTTCATTAAATGAAATTAGGCTGCACTTCAATGCCAGGCATTGTAAGGGGACTTGGTGTGCACTGACTGAAGTGTGAGGCCGCCCACTCCCACTTCCCCGCTCTGCTGCCACAGACCAGGGCTCAGGCAGCCCTGCCCAGGGCTCCTGCTGGGCGCCGCACCTCCCCAGCCCAGTCCCAGCTCAGCTCTGGTCAGAGACCGTGCTCCTTCAGCCTCAGGGGCCACACTAGGGTATGCTGGGTCTGAAATAGTCCCTGCCCACAGGAAGGACCTTGTCTCCTGATGGAGGGGAGAGGCCCTACTGGAGCTGTCTGCTTGCCCAGCTTGGCCGGCCCTCTACCGTTTTGCAATCCCTGCTGGCTCGGCCTCTGCCCACTCCCAGGGCACGCAGGCCACACTCAGATAGCGCCAGCCCTGGCACGGCACCCGCGGCCCACTCATCAGCTCACTGCTGGGGCAGACTCCTGGGCCAGGGCCCCGCACCCTCCAGGTGGTCCTCTGCCGGTCTGTCCTACATTCCCAGTGTGGAGAGCAGCTGCTCTGCCCGGAAGGGAGACCTCTCCATGCGCACTGGGCACCTGGGTCTGGCTTTCTCAAGGCAGTTGGCATCCTACCTCCTGCCTGCCCGAGGACTGACCTCCCCAGGAGGGGCCTTTTCTCCACATCACTGTTGGCCTGTAGGAAACCGTTCCCAACTCAAGGGGACAACAGGAGGGGCAGGGTCTGCCTGGCGCTGACGGGCCCTCTGAGGTCCACAGGGGGGGACCAGTCCCTACTCTTCCATCACCCCACCGGTCTGACCTGGAGGACTGGGCCTGTCTAAGCGGGCTCGCATCCACTCAGCCTGTGAGGGGGGGGGGGGGCAGCTCATCGCCCCGGCACCGTCTACGACACACGGTCCGGAGAAGCCCTCCGTGCTGGGGTGCCCTGTGGATCGCCCCGGTACCGATACAGCTGTACAAAGTGGACTTTGCCTGTCCCTGCGGGCAGACGGAGTTCGGGGCGCCGCTGCCTGGCCTGCGTCGGGCTGGCTGACCGCGCCGCGGGGAGGTGACACCGGCTGCGCCCGGACGCACGTCACGTGGGCAGCGCTGCTCTCG